AGAAATGCCCAAACAGAAACATGTTCTATCAAATGGTCAGTGAATCTATGACGATGCATCATTTCTACTCTATTCAAATCCACCAAGAAACCGCAATTCAAACAAAGAAATGATCACTTCCATTGCTTCAATTCAATTCTTTGAATCATCTCATAACAAACATGACAAAATCAAATTTGACGTATTTCATGACAATGCATCGTAAACGCGAAAACAACACCCGAAAAAGAACATGCTTATCTCGATGTGGCACTTAAGATGTCACAACGCGTGTGTGTATGTGAGATAATTTTATGACTGATTGATATTAAATTGACATGATTGATTTAATCGCTTGATGAACAAACAAAATGAAACAAAACACAGCAATATGAACGGTTTAGAAATGATTTACGATTCAGAAATAATTTCCGTTTAAAAAAAATTCACGTTTTGCAATTAAACTCACGATACTTTTAGCTATAAAAGTGGCCGTTGAATTTTTCGATCGCTATTTAAATTCGCTGTGATTTGGTGTGAGACACAATAAAACTAATTGTGTCATTGGTATATCGAACATAGTTGCATTTTGGGAGAAAAAATCGACTTTGAACTTTTTGCTTGTAAATTTGACTGCAAAAGCATTTAGTTGTATTGTTGTAGAATATTATAATCGCTATACCAAAAATCTACAGTTGATTGAGCCAGTTACATTTTTACTTTTGATAAATAAAGACCAAATTTGACAAAAACCTTTCCATTACTCGAATCGAAAAGTATTAAGAATTTAATTAAATTAAAATTCAAGTTTGGTGAAAAAAAGTCCATTCACTCCCCATAACAAGTGCTAGTGTTTTATAGTAGCACAAAGAGTAAATAACAGAAAAAAACGCGTGAAGATTTGAAAATTGAAATTGGTTACGAATATCTCCCATATTTAGTTCAGTCTCTGATAAAATGTTAGAAAACTCGGAAAGTCATCCAAAACTATCAAATGTAAAAAATCAAATCTATGCAACCATCATAGGTAATTTTTGTAATAAAAATGAAAAATAATGACACACAAAATTAAACAGAAAAATTTTAAGAAAAAATATAGAAAAACTACAAAAAACAAAATCAATAACTCAATATTTTAAAACTCTATTATTGTGTCTTTTCATCTGCCTAACACTTAAAAAGATCTATTTTTCTTCCCAAACCAGCGAATATCATAGTGATAAGTTTCGGCAGTTGTGTTGGTTGGTTCTCACCTGCGTTGCGTGTACTTCTATCGGATGAGACGCCGCTTAAAACCGGCCCATTAACCAATGAAAAATTGTCATGGATTGGAGCAATGAACAGTTTCGGTGCCTTATGTGCAACATTCATAAGTGGATTTCTGTCGATCCGATTGGGCTCGAAACGCGCCATGACCATTTTGGCATTGCCAGCAGTCACTGTGTGGATTTTGATCTACTTCGGTGACTCGTTCTACCACATTTTCTTTGCACGATTTGCAACCGGATGTATTGGTGGTGGCTTTCAATCGGGAGTCATTCTTTTCGTCGCCGAGATTTCCAACGATAAGTAAGTACAAACAATTTGTTGGAAACTTTTTTTTTCATTTTCAATTTTTTTTTTAAATAAATTAATTATTTTCTATTTACAAAAATTTTCATCAATTTCTCATTGTGTTTTTAGTATTCGAGGCCGCCTTGGCTCAGTTATTCCATTAGCAAGGAATACGGGCATTTTGTTAGCGAATATTGCAGCAGCTGTCGTCGATTACGAACACCGGCCGTTTATTTTTGTGGTGTTTCCTGTGATATTTTTCATTTGGATCAACTTTTTGCCTAGCACTCCAGAATATTATCTTCAATGTGGAAAAGTTGAAGTAAGGCGATTTTTTATTCATTTTTTATTTCAATTTTTCTCTCAGTTTAAATTTGAATTGTTAAATATTTATATGAAATTCAAACTATTTTTCAACGAAAATTATCAACTTTCAATCGTTAAATGATCTAAAATCCATTCACAGGAAGCCAAAAGAGCGTTAATGTTCTACAAATCGGTCGATGGCGAGAGTAGCCATGAAACATCCCTCTTGCAGAGTGAATTCGAGCAAATCCAAATGATTGAGTGGGAACGAAAACGAAGTGCAAAGATTCAGCCAAAAGATTACTATAATCGAGCCGCTTTGAAAGGAATTGGCACAGCAATAGCAATGGTTTGGCTGTTCCAGTCGACTGGATTTTATATTATCGTAAATTATGCGTCGTTAATTTACAAAATATCGGGTACAACGCTCAAAATAGAAATATCGACCATAGTGTTATCGGTTGCCCAGATTCTCGGTGGATTGGTAGCGACGCGACTAGGTGACACATTTGGCCGAAAAACGACTTTAATCTCATTTTTTGGTTCGGCCATTGGACTTTTTACGTTTGCGATTCATTCATACTTGCGCCAAAATCAATGTGATGTTTCGCATTATACGTGGGTGCCCGAGGTTTGCTTATCCTTTGTTATTTTCATCTCAAGTGCCGGAATTGACGCATTAGCGAACACATTCGTTGTGGAAAGTTTTCCACCAAAGGTAAGCTACTTACTAATAAGCACAGGCTTTGAAGATCAAACTTGGATTGTTGCTCGAATTTTGAATGATTCTAATAAATGTTCATATCAATTCGATCGATTGGCATGACATTTTATTCAATGGCTATCAATATCGTTGCGATAATGGGTGAAAAATTCTTTCCAATATCAGTCGAAGCAATTCATTTACACTGTGTTCTACTATTTCTTGCGATCAATTGCTGCATCGGAACTATTTTTATTACTTTTATGAAAGAAACCAAAGGAAAGTCATTAAATTTATTTTGTATATCGATCTGTTCAAGCGATCTTTCAATTTTTTTTAGGATCAACTCCTACTTTAATAACTTTTTAAAATGCGAAGTCTTTTTTGAAGTCCCAAATTTGTCAGAATTCCACTGATATACATCGTTTCAATGCAAAAATTAAAAACGAGAAGAGTTAATCAATATAAAAAAGTATAAAGGGCAATAAAGATGATTGAAATTATTTAAACCGATATTTGATTGTTTTTTTTTTCATTGAATTTTTTTTATTACTGAAGAGTTTGATGAATGAAGCATAAATAGTGTGACGGAATCAATTCGACTTGAATATACATAAATTGGTCCATATCACATTTTATTCTTGTTCTTAATCGTTCACAAAGTGCTATGAAAACCACCAAAGGCATGAGTTAAACTCTAGAATTGAAGTTCGTTGTTTTGCCTCAGCTCATAGATAAACAAAATAAATACATATGTATCTAATATAAACTTTAGGTGGTACACTGAAAAAAGAGGATGTGAGTGATTTGCATTCGAAATAAAGAGCGAGTAAGATGTGAGTACTTCTTGTACGAGTCCACATATATGTCGAGTCGACATTGTTGACTGTATGAAACTGTCTGTACGATTTTTCGTTTCTTATACCGAATTTTGCCGATCACCGCTGCTCTATGCATAAAATACACTCTCAAACGTAGACAAAACGACGCCTAATGATAGCGCTCAAGTGAAATTTTGCATTGAAAGTAGAGTAAATGGAGTCTCCAGTCGTATTTTCGCCTAAAAATCTAAATGAATGCATAATGTGCACTACCTATATGTTTATTCCACTCACCAAACGGAATATCGCTTGGGCGACTCCATCAGTGGAAAGGTTATATACATTTGCATGGAACATAATACACTGTAAAATTTCTGTTTACACATCATTTCTCATCAACTGCATTACACTGTCTAAGCTCTGTGTGTGTGTGTGAGTCACGCATATACATATACGAACTTCTAATATTCCGCCTCTGGTTGTCTTTGGTTTCCGGCTTATGTTTCGCATGTGTATGTGACACCTATACTTGCAATGTGTAAAACGAATTTGGTCGGTGCGAAACGTCAAACTGTTGAAACATTCTTCTCTTTGTCGTAATCGTCTACAGATCTAAGTGAATTTTGTCATTGAAACGTGTTCATAAACCAAAACTTTTTTATAATCGATTTAAAAAAAAAACATTTGACATTAACTTGTTTCTTAACATTTTTAGTTTTCCAGTTCAATGGAAATAATTCATTTGTAAATGAAAACGTGTAAAGTTACTCAATTTTGAGAGAAAGTATGAAAATTTGAACAGATTGTGTGTGATGAAAATTCGTTCAAGTTGAAAAAAATCTTTGAAAAAATAGTCAAAAACACTGTATTTAGTCGTATAAAGTGCATTTAAAAATGGTCGTGCTATCAAAAGAACAGTTTGAGCATGGAGATGATTCCGAAAATGTTGCATCAAATGCCGATGCAATTACATCAATTCTCGAGTTTATGAATGGTTTTGCACGCAAACTTCGATTTGGTGACCGAAAAAATGTGGTTTTAATGTTAGGTAACACGGGTGCTGGCAAAACCACATTGACATCTCTGCTCAGTGGTGTTGAGCTTGAGTCAAAAGAGGTGGTGCCCGGTTCGGGCGAGTTTGTGATTGTTGATGAAAAAGAGCTAATCAGCGGCCAATCAACCACCGTATCAAAAACCGAGATCCCTGAATTGATGTTTGATACCGACAATAAAATCGCCTACTATGATTGTCCAGGGTTCAATGATTCACGCGGTGTTGAGCACGATGTTTCGGTCAGCTATTTGATATAAAAATTGATTAAATTCGCTGATTCGGTGAAGTTGGTGTTTGCAATCAGTTTTTCATCGGTTCGTACGGGTGTGGGTGATCGTAATGATTTTATGGATTTGGCAAAGCATGCGATAAACTTTGCCAAGAATATCGACCGATATCGCGATGGAATTGCATTGATTGTGACCAAAGTGGAAAATCGGTATGTCACCAAAAATCGGCAGCCACAATTAATTGACGATGATAAAATAATTGAAGCGATTGTTGGATTTCTGAAACAAGCAAAAACGGACTTGGAAAACAGCAATCAACAGGACATTTCTTTGGACGATCAAGAGATGAATCGCAGGAAAATCGCATTCATCGACATTCTTTTGGAACAAAATCAACAAAATGAATACACAAAAATTGGAATCCTTCGGCTAGCCAACGAAAGTGGTCCGGTGCATGATATCGAAATGCTACAAGAAGAACGGAAAACCATTGCCAAATTGATAAATCGCAACTTGAAATTTGTGGACAAAGAAAATACCGATTTTGGCTACACCATTTCGGAAGCGACGAAAAATCGAATCCATGACAAAATGGACCAAATGCAAGATCGACTCACGAAAGACGTAAAAAATATCGGCGATGAAATTTACGCATTCTATTTGCAACAAGAAAAACACATTTCCGATTTGAATGTTCTGAAGGAACAATTTGTCATTGCCCATCAAAAGCTTGAGGAAATTGAATGCAATGATCCGAAAAATTTTGTGAAACTCATCACAAATGCAGCGAATGAACTAAAAATTGGCATAACTATCGACAATTCAAAACAATTTTGGAATCACATGGAATGTTTGGACTTCATAAATGCCGTTAGTAAGATAAACTTGTCGAACCTGTTTAATATTTCAACGGGACTGGCCGGCATTCGGAAATATCTGCTCGAGTCGAAGAAATGGTACTGCTTTTTGATTGAACTACATGACACACTGTCGGAGTATAATGTGCAGAAAAATAAATCAAAATATAATGTAGGTGAATTGATGAGCTATGTGCAAGGACATCAAGAGGTGAACGTCAATGACATCGGTCTTGAGCAACTACTAAATGAGATTGGCGGTATAGATTTCGCAAAAATTGAAAATATTCAACTGAATTCATTCAAGCTACGCGCTTTGCAAGAGATATTGAATTAAACATTAGTACAACTTCCTGTGTTTACCCATTCGACTGATGGCAAATTGGTTGTGAAAGGATACAATATCAAAATTAGCGATATATGCCAATATATACCCAGGCCGGATTCGGTAGTCTTGGTAGATTCTGGTTCGATTGTTGTAAAATACATCGAAGTCTTTGCCATAAATAACCTTTTCATCGACATGGATATTAACAAAACTGGACAAAAGCTGCAACTGTCACTCATTGCACCAACATGGCATGTCATCGGTGACAGGCAAATTAATTTGGAAGGAAAAGATGCTGAACCACACCCTGAACCGAAAGCAGAAGACGGCAAAATTGGGCGGTATGAAATTGATGGCAAAAATGGGTTGCCTGGCAAACCTGGTGGTGCAGCTGGTCATTTTATGGGCATTGGCAACAATTTCTTCAACATGGAGAATTTACAAATTAATATCGGAGGCGGCAAAGGTGGCGCCGGTCAACATGGCGGAAATGGTTCGTATAAAATTTTGTTGGCTCAATTTCAGCCATATGTTTACTGATCATTTTGTAGTTCCATTCGAAAACATGAAATTTGTAAGCGAAACCAGACAAACATATGGGAGACTCCCATTGGGAGTCAAGGTTTTTTTCTCTCTCTTGATTAAGTCAAATACAATATAAGGGTCTGTTATCAAATTGGATTAATTTTCAAAATTAAAATCGATCGATTGGCAACGTTGTAATCGAATATCTTCGAATTACATTTTTCTCCAATTCCAGGTGCAGACGCAAAAAAAGGAGATGATCCGGAAATTCCAGCATTCAAAAGTTTCGGGGCAGATTTTAACGGTCTCATAAGATCGTCACGTTTTAAGTGGTGCAAAGTTCCACCATTCTTCGGTGTAGAATACAATGTTAAAGGCACGGATGGATTGAAGGTAGAGTAGAAGTGCCAGTTGAACTGAGCTGAACTTTTATATTTGAAAATTTTAAAATAATCATTTTCAATTCGGATTTCAAGGCTGGAAAAGGTGGTAATGGTGGAGTTGGTGGTTATGGTGGTATGCCGGGGGAGAATTTCATCGCCGGATTCGACAATCACCCCGGAATCGATGTTTTGAACAATAGAGGTATTTAACATGAAATCAAAATTGTGTTGTGTTTTTTCTAATTCATTTGTCTCATTCAAAAACGTTGCCAGGTGATTCGGGAGCCGATGGAAAAGGTGGCAAAGGCGGAAAAGAGGCGACGAAAGGTACAAACGTGGCTGCTCAATACGTATTCCTAGTAGTCGGTTTTCTAAATTTAAACCGAAAAGATTCGCCCAAAATGGCAATTGAGGCAGGTGAAAGTGGAATCGATGCTGAATCTACAGAAAATCTGCAATGTGCCGAGAATCCAGATCCATTTATCAATGCATGTCGCACAATAAACGATTACAAGAGCTACGTGAGAGGATATCTGCCGAATAATATTTTTGAAACGAAATTAGGGGAATTTTTGGCCCATTTCGAAGTCGATCAGCGCATTCATTCGCAATACGACACACTTGGATTGGTGCACGAATTACAAGGACTAGAACGTCATTACATTGAGCTACGTGATAAAATCTCGTTGGTTCCATTTGTCGAATCACTTTTGCGACGAATCAATAACTATGCTCAAAATGGAAAACCATCAAATGACGATAAAATAGTGCTGAACCTTTTAAATGCGGCTGCATTGACTAAATTGAGCAGCATAAAAAATCGTGAAAACTATGCGTCAATTATTCACTTGCTTGCGTATACTCAACTAGTACGAGAAAATATTAAAATGCTACGCTCGGCGAAAAGAAATGAAGCTATTCAGGGATATCAGGAAAAATTCGCTGAATCCGTACAGATGAAAATTGAATTGGCCAATCACTTTATTCAAAGCCAAATTTTACCCGATATCAAGCGGAATTTCACGGAAATCGACCAATGTATCCATGCTTTGATTGATGAAAACGGCAGCCAACAGTCGATAATTCGAGAACAAGAACTGAAAAATGCTTTGTTCAAACAGAGAATTTGGTTCTGGATTGAAGTAATTCCATTGCTTCTGTGTCTTGGCACGACCGCAGCTGCTGTTTTCGCTAGTGCAGCGGTGGCGAGCAGATTTCTCCAGAAAGGCTCTGGATCAGTTGCATCTTCGGCAGGTACTATCATTTGAATCAATTTGGTTTATGTGAATTTCTAAACTTGAACGGATCATTTATGTTTTTCAGCTAAAACAGCCCTCGGAAGTGGATCAAAACTAGCCCTCGAAAGTTCAAGCAATGCGAGTAAATTGAAGAATTTTTCAGTGCCAATGTCTGAGATCAAATCGACCATTTCTAATTTGAAAGCTAAATTAGAAGATGGTGTTAAGACTTTCAAGAAGGAGTTTCACTTCTTGGAACAGAAATCGAGAGAATATTTGGGAAATGATACAGTGAAAGAAATGAAGCGGAAAATTGGTGAAAGGGTCAAAGAAACGTTGAATTCGTCGGGAGTGGAGAAGAACAGCAAAGATTTGCGGGCGAATACAGTTCAAGCAGTAAAAACAGTGCAACAATTGCCAGAAGATCGAAAAGAATTACAAGAAAAGAGTATGGAGCTCGAGAGCGTCGCCGAAAAGAGTTTTGATATTCAAGATGCACCAGCTGCACCCACAGCCGCACGATCATTAAGCAAAAAATCGGAAAATCTTCTTAGAAGTTTGGAAATGCAAGAAAAGCACTTGTACGAAGCGATAATTCCACAGCTGCATGAGATCGAAAGCAGTGTAACAGCTATGGAGCTCAAAATATCAAATCAATCATACGTTGAACTCGACTTGAGCAAATGGCGTGTTCAAAGCTTACTAAAAGATTTAAAAGCATATTTCAATCGTCTAACCATTGGCTTCACAATTGAAGGAGATGTCAAGCAAATCATAGACAAAATAAACGAAGGAATGTGTGTATTGATCGGTGTTTATGATCGCATCGATTCCTATGTTGAAAAATTGGAATTGAGTGCTTTAATGGCGAACATGGCCACAACATCGCATCGGACCGGCAATGATGAATTGAATAAAGTGATTTCTAGCTTAGAGAAAATCATTCAAACCAACATCATTCTGGAGCAATACGAATCCGTAGTACATGCATTCAGACAGCATATGTTCCCATTCGTTCATCTGAACATGACCAATTGTTGGCTAACATCGAAATCCACTGACAACACTGACGCCGATGTACTGGTAGAACAAGCCATAGAGCGAATCGACTATTTGGCTAAACAATTAACATCTGCCAGCATTTCAATTGAAAAGTACGACAAGGATATTATCAACATCAAATCTGACGATTTATATACATGGAAAAATGCCGAAATTCAACCACAAATTGGACAACTGTTGCAAGGCGATGAGATTGTTCTCAAAGCGGACATTGCCAATGGAATCAATCAAAATGCCGTGAAATTCAACGAAATTGCCATCAATTTCAAAGTGTCCGATGACAAAGTACAAACCGAATTGAACGAGAAACTAGAAGATTTTGATGTGACTCTGACCATGATGGGCAATTGCTATTATCGATGTGGAAACCGTTCGTATTATGTGCCCATTGATGAGAATATTGTGATCGAATATTCGATGAAGAAAGATGAACAGGGTCATCCAAAGAGTTCCAATGAAGTTTATCGCAAAATTAAAGATGGAACGTATTTCTTGAGCCCCTACACCACATGGAGCATCAAATTGAGCAACAAAAATGGCAACGATTTTCATGATTTAGCCAAACTCAAGAACATGGCCATCGATTTGAAACTGGTCGGCAATGTTCAATACTTTAAATATATTAAAGCCTTTTCAGACGAATTTTCCGATGAACTCTTGAACAAACATTACAACTTTGATCGCATTATACCATACGAATGTGATGAAAAACTTTTGAATAGTTTTTAACTTGATGAAATTGGGAAAAGAGATCAGAAATTCTGACTTGAGTTTAGTTTTAGATTCGATATCGAACAATCTCTGCACACAGAGCACAATTTTGACGTGAATATCTGTTTTTTTCGCATAATTCAATAGAAGTAAAATAGTAATTTAGTCAAAAAAAAAAATGTCTTCACTAATACTTCAATTGGGCCTTTAATTCCTTATTTTTATAACATTCTGAGCCCACTGATTCAGTAGATCAACTAGAGAAAAAAAGTTTTGATAAAAATGTAAAAAAAATTGAAATTTTTCGGGATAATTCAATAAAAAAAATTGGGACATAAAACTGAAAGATGTTTTTTTCTCCGATCATAAGTGTTGTTTTTATTCAATGCGCATGAAAAAGAAACGAATCATCCAAATTTTCTCTTAAAAATAAAATCGTTGTCAGTTTTAACGATTTTCCAGCTGGAATCGATGTGTCGTTGTGCGATCTGATGTGCGACTTGTGCCATTCGTTCCGAAACATTCACCAATTGCATTCTGGTCAATGATTTACACGCGCTAAGGAACTTCAAAGCGTCATCGATGAGAAAAATGCGCCAATCGAGAATGAGTTCGGTCAATTTCGGTAGGCTTTTGGTAATTTTAGTGATTTGATCGGAGGATGCTTGTCGTAAGTTCATAAAATCCAGTGTCACCTTCAATTTAGTCAGTTTTTTATTTCGGCATATAAAATCGATGATTTCATTGATCGATGTGCGAATGCGTCGTAGTTCAAGTCCTTCGAGTTGTCGAAATGAAAAATGTTGAATGGGTGCTTCTGAAACGAAATATCTCAATTTCTTGAATGTGATTCGATCGCAATTGCAGAGTGCATTATTATCAGGTGCCCAAACGAATCGTTCCAAATTTTTCAAATTCACAGCGACGAGACGGCAGAGATCTTGATCGATTTGAAGATGATCGGGATTGACAGGGAAGGAATAAAATTGAAACCACAAATCTTGTATGTTTGGATTGAGTCGAATAGTTTCGCTGATATTTGATTTGGTGAAACCACCACGCCGGCTACCGTGCAACCAAATTACCAGCGACTCCAAATGTGGGAAATGTTCTTCAATGCACTTTGTATTCGGCACCGTGTTATCAATTAATTTCAAATTGCGCATTTTCGGGAACCAAGTATTGAACTGCGAAATATTATAACTTAAGCGGCTTTGAATAATTGTCACACTCTCGACGAAAGAAAACGGCAGCCGTAATTCACTCATCAATTCGATTACGTGATTGTACAGTAGAATCTCAATCAATGACCCGGAACAGTATTTGGCGATACAATTTTCGACCCATTGCGAATAAAACTCATTTTTCGATCCGAAAAACGCCAATTTTGTTAAAAACGGACCAAAATGCTTGAAAAACTTTCCAACTGACTTGAGCGGTGATTCTTTCGTTGAAATGAATGGCGTTGATTCGCCATGAATGCTGATTCGATCGGAATTTATCGAAAACGTTTCCATGCGATACTTTTCGTAGAAAACACTGCAAGCCACTTCTTTGAGGTAAACATTCGCATTTGCAACGTTCATCAAATCGGAAAAATCCAAATAGGTTAAGATATTACGAATACAATCATATTTTAAATCGATTAATTTTAATTGTTGCTTAGGTGTTTCCGCGATTACACCTAACTTAGACCGTTTCATTGACTGCGCGTATCTCAGTTCATTTGCATCTAATTCCATTTTGGAGACAACTTCTTTTCAACGAATTTCGATGGTTCTGAAGGTGGAAAATCGTTTTTAGTGAAGTGTTTTTAATATGAGTTCAATCATTTTCTAACCAATTTAATCATTTTCTATCTTTGATCAAGATTAATTTCATCTACCTCTCATTTCCACTTGCTTAAATTGCATTTTTATTTACAAAAAAACTTACTTCTTGCCTTAGCAAGTGCGTCTTTCCTCCAAAAATAAACAAGAAAGTGTTTCTTGAAGAAACTACTCGAGCGATTGACTTGGCCTGTGTTTTGAAGTCGGTTCCAAAGATGACCAAATTCGATTTAAATCGAATTTTATTAGGTTTATTTTGAAATCGAACGCTTTTTGAGTAAATTCAAAAATTGACATGATTTTTTGTGTGCATAAAACAAAAGTTGACATGATATTTAGCACATAGTCTACTTCAATGAAAATATTCGTATAACTTCCAAATTCATCCAAATTTCCTGCTTATCGACTTTGAAGAGAGCAATTGGAATGGTTTCCAATGACTTCCAGTGATTTCCGAAATGTTCTCTTACGAGAACGATAGTGACACCATCGCTTGACAGATCGTTCCATTCAAACTGCATTCAACACAAGAGTTTGTTTGACAGCTCGTCTACAACCGCATAGCAAAGTTCATCAGATTGCGATAAAGTCGGTTCTTTTTCACCTATCACGCAAATTCGATTGTTTTTTATTCATTGAAACCAATTATTCGCGGTGAATTATTTCACAACAAATCGAACGGTTTCATTGGAAGTATCGCGACGAGCTGACAAAAAATAAGAATGTTCTTGAACATTCACAAAAAGTGAGTGTCATTGTGTGTGTGTTTGTATGACACTTTTGGGTACTTGTAAACAATTTGCAAACACTACAATCATTGATATTGATTTCATAGATCTAGATTCCAAGCTCAAAAATAGTTTAAGCTCAACTTGAGCGAAAATAATAAATCACTTGACTTTTTTTTTCGACTAATCAAAATAAATAATTGGAGATTGGAATTTTTGAAGCATTTAAAGGGGAAAACTCAATATTGAAAAACCAGTTTCGCATTCTTTTCGCTTCATATAATTCGACTTTTTTGAGTGACTTTTCTTTACTCTTTTGTAGATTTATGACAAAAGTCGTAAGAAGGGCTAATCGAAGTGGAGATTTGACTGAGACACCAAATCAAAATGAACAGTCGAGTCAACAGCATCAACAGAATGAAGACGATGAGCCGAGGGAAGCAAATCAACAGCAAACCAATCAATCGAACGAAGAAGCCCAAGCTGATGAATCGAACGAAGAAACTCAAGCTGATGAATCGAATGATGGCAACCTATTGAATGAAGAGGTTGAAGCTGATCGATTGAACGATGAAGCTCAAGGCAATCAGTTGGATGAAGAAGCTCTAGGCAACCAATCGAAGGAAGAAGTTCCGGAAATGCTGCAAGAAAATATGCCCGAAGGACTGCCTGCAGAATTGAAATCAACAACCAAAATCACCGATGTAAATAATGATTGTCTCGGCTTCATCTTCGCACATTTGGAACTGGCCGATCTTCTGAGCATTTCGGATGCGAACAAGGATCTAAAGCCAGCTGCTTTTCTTGTTTACGCGGAAAAATATGGGAAAATGGTCATTCATATCCAAGCTCATGCCGCAAATCGCAGATCTCCTGAAGTGTCAAAGGATTGTGTTTGGGCCACCAATAGAACCGATAGCTTGAAAATTATGCGCCATTTCGGTGATGCCATATCCAAATTAAAAATCTCCTACAAAGGCTCAAACGATGGTTATTTTGCTGAAATGGAACGCTACATCAACGAATATTGCAGCAAAACCGTCATTGAAATTCAATTTACACTCTCAATGTTCTCTGCCATTCCAAATCTGGTTGTGCCAGTTCACAGTGTTAGTTTCTATTCATGTGAATTGGCCAAAGAGCAATGCCAAATCGACGAATGGTTTCCAAATGTGCGTCACCTCATGTTCGGATCAATGGTCGAAATGGATGATGTTAAGCGGGTCGTGGTACATTATCCTCATTTGGACAGTTTGACCATTGAAAAAGCCGATCCAATCATTCAAAATGGATTCAACGAGGCAAATGTTATGGAAATCTTGCGCTTGAATCCAAATTTGAAAAGTTTACACCTTCACAATTTCAATACGACATTCCTTCAAATGGTCGGTGAATATTTATATCAAGTCAAAAATCTTGAACTTTCGTTCAAAAATGATGATAGCATCAATCACAGCGAACCATCCATTCGTCTTTGGAATGTGAAAAGCTTCGTTCTTCGCGTTAAAGAGAACGAATCGCGTAATTTTCCAAATTTGCCGTTTAATTTTGGAAACATTGAAGAATTTAAGTACACAAGCCACCCCTATTGCCTTGAATTTTTTCGTGAAAATCCGCTGAAAATAGTACATTTGAAGTTCGGTCCGCTAACGTTTCAAGGTGATAGCATAATCGATTTTGCAAGGGCTTTGCCATCGGTGACTGAATTGGTTCTGGACAATTGCAGACTTGAAGTTGACGAAATGATTTGGTTTTTGGACGAATGTCCAATGCTCACCAAATTTCATTTTGTAAAAACATGGAGATTTGAAGAACATGTGGTACGATACGACCTTGGACCAGAGTGGCGGATAGAATTTGATGGAAATATCGTTAAAATGGAACGTTGAATTGGTTTTAGTAAAATAACAGAAAAAAAAAAAAAATACTGGCTGAATATTCAGTAGCAAGGAAAAAAGGAATTATTGTTCGATAGACATCTGCACATTCACTTCAAATATACATAAAAAAATTTCATATATTCATACATGAGTATGGAAGGAAGAAAAAAACAATCATTATTTCTTCTTTTGGTAGATTGTAAGGTGTATTACGAACGATTTTATTCGAAATAATAAAATAAAATCCAGAAAAATCAAATATTATCGTTTTTGTTTTTCTTTATGTTTTTCTCGTTGAAATTTATTGTCATTAGAAAGACAAGAAATGATGCCGTAATGAGTGGTTTGAAATCGCTAATTTCAAACTAATGATGGCAGCACCAAATGACCGAAAGCAATGGATTATCTCAAACTACGGTGGCCTGGACGGTGGCAACCATGGTGCGGCTGTTGACACTATATTTTCCTATATTTCGAATTGGCGCGCTGTTTAGTTCCGATTTGAAATGTTAAATTACATTGATGTGCCCTTTGAAATTGGGGGCGCTCGCGTCGCCTCAAATGACTTTGACGTTCAACAGCCGCCACACGGTGGCAACACTGGATGACGTTTCGAAATCGACATTAAGGATGCGGTCTTTGTTAGCACACAGCTATTGTGTTAATAACTTTTCTTTCTTCGACTCATTTTAGTCGTGTCATCACTCAAAGTCAAATTTGTTCATCACTCAGTTTTTAGACAGGTCGAATTGTATTCGGGGCTTCAAAATCGATATTGGCTGAAATAAATCAAAGGTTTTTGATTTGTTTGGAAACCACGTAATTGGAACATTTTCAAAAGGTTCATTTTAATCGCACAATTACAAATTTGTTTGCAAATATCAATCAATGGTCTACTCAACCACTAAATTGAACTTAAAAATCTTATTCACGACCAGAGTTATTACGCAGACTGTAGAGATGGCCGAACGAAATGAATTTGGCTGGTGATGTTATGTTTTGGTTGATTGTTTGTGTTTCTAATCTGTTTGGTTATTTTCTCTCTTTTTTTGTGTAGTTTCATTGCTGCATCAGACTTTTGAAGTGGAATAGTGGCCAAGAGTGTGATTTTACATCATCAGGATAATTATACCGCCGCTCCTCCAAATTGACGTTGACTTTGGCGATAGATGGATGAATCAATAGCAGCAGCAGTAGTCGCAGTTACAGATTGGTAGATTTGAGCAATATTTTTAAAAAATATTGTATGAATAATTGTATATTCTACAGAGTGTCATGACTGGCTTGAATAGTCTCTACTCTTACAGTAAAGTACTTATTGTAATTCGATCGTTCCGTTTCTGAATTAGGTTTGTGAATTGACAAACAACAGATAAATTGAAAAATAAATTAAGGAAGCCTTGCGTTTGAATCCACAGTTGCAAAGTGTAGGTTTTACACATTTTAATACCAATTTTCTTCTGGGATTCAGCAAATATTTACAACAAGTGGAAAGTCTCGAGCTTGTTCTCCGTTGTCAGGATATCTATCCGAAAAATGCACCAACCCGTTTGAAGAATGTGAAAAGACTTTTGGTCAAAATGCCCGATAATAGAAGTTCTAACGATAGTATGAGATTGCCATTCAGTTTTGGTAATGTTGAAGAATTCTCGTATGAATCACCATTTGGCTATCCGACAAAAGACATTTTCTGCCGTCAAAATACTTTGAAGAAAGTGCATTTGAGCGCACTCATTCATAGTTTTTATAGATCAGATCTCGCAAGGGATTTGCCGTCGATGACGGAATTTGTGCTAAACAAGTGCAGTTCATTTGACTTAGAAGATGTGATGGAATATGTGGAAAAATGCAAAAAGCTGACCAAATTTCATTTCGTATTTGCCGATCGCTGTGATTATGATGTCTCAATCGAAAAGTAAAGCTAAAACTATTGTAGTCTAAACGGTGGCAACACCAAATGACGTTTTGATATCGGTACTAATGATGCACCTTTCGTTAATGAGCTTACAGATATTTCACAGTTAAAATCAATTTCTTTGGCTCTTTTAAGTCTCAGCTAATTTCGATATCCATTCATTTTATTTACAAAAGCCGATTGATATTGACCATTATTTGTGCTTTAGAATATTCCATTTTTACAATGTTTTTTTTTCTTTTTATATTATCGAAATTAAAATCAATATTTCTAAAGTTTTCTATTGTCGGTTTGTGAATTTTTTTCTGTTGTATATTTGTGAAATAAATTATAGAATAAATCGTAGATGACCGATCAAAGTAAAAAGTGTCGTCAAAAACGACAACGGGATGAATGCGATGAGCCAGAGGTAATTAGTAAAGAAGTCAAACGATGGAAGAAAGAAAAGCCCAAAGAGTTTTGTAACGTTTTTCAGATTTTTTATGACGATTTTCATCGCAACATAGTACCAACAACCAAAATCACCGATGTGAACACACATTGCCTCGAGGCCATCTTCAAGCATTTGGAATTCATCGATCTATTCAATGTCGCCGAATCAAACACATATTTGAAGCAAGCCACCGGTCGAATTTTTTCGAAAAAGTATGGAAATTATGATGTCAATATCTTGGAATATCACTCAAAAACTGGTAACTTCGACGTGGAAGCGGATTGTATTAACGTGACAAATGAAACTGTCGCTTTGAGATTGCTTCGCTATTTCGGTGAATTTATATCCAAGTTGAATATTCATTATACTCGTTATAACAAACCCAGGGACGATGAGCACGCTTACTACGCTGAATTGGATCGATATGTGTTTGAGTACTGCAGCAACGCATTGACCGAAATCACTTTTTCCTTGGTCAAAGAGTATGCATTTTCATCCATCAAAAAGCCATTGCCGAACGTTGAATGTGTTAGCTTTGATGGTGGCAAATTGAACAAAAATCTGTGTCAATTCAACAAATGGTTTCCGAACGTGCGTCATTTGAAGTTTGGATCAATGGTTGAATTAGATGATCCCAAGTGTATCGCGGTACATTTTCCGCATTTGAAGAGCTTGTCAATGGTGAAATTTCCCAGTAAAACTGACCGGCAAATGAGTCGTTGTCATGAACCGATGAAGCTACCTCTGGGCCAGGGAATTGACGAACCAAACACAAAAGAAGCCTTGCGTTTGAATCCACAGTTGCAAAGTGTAGGTTTTATACATTTCAATACCAATTTTCTTCTGGAATTCAGCAAATATTTGCAACAAGTGGAAAGTCTCGAGCTTGTTCTCCGTTGTCAGGATATCTATCCGAAAAATACACCAACCCGTTTGAAAAATGTGAAAAGACTTTCGGTCAAAATGCCCGATAATAGAGGTTCTAACGTTAGCATGAGATTGCCATTCAGTTTTGGTAATGTTGAAAAATTCTCGTATGAATCACCATTTGGCTATCCGACAAAAGACATTTTCTGCCGTCAAAATCCTTTGAAGAAAGTGCATTTGAGCGCACCCATTCATGATTTTTTTAGATCAAATCTCGCAAGGGATTTGCCGTCGATGACGGAATTTGTGCTGAACAAGTTCAGTTCATTTGATTTAGTAGATGTGATGGAATATCTGGAAAAATGCAAAAAGCTGACCAAATTCCATTTCTTATTTGCTCATGACTATTATGATCTCTTACAGGAAGATTTAGAAGACGAATGGCGTTCAAGTATGCGTGAGACCGATAAGAAAGGCATAATCTTTGTAATGCTGGAACGATGAATCGTTTATTGTCAATTGACCGAAGCAGAAACAATAAAAGCCATCAATTTATACATTTCACTACTTTTGTTTATTCAATCATTTGATAATCATTGTATAGATTCTAAGGTGTATACGATTAAAATAAAACCCAACAAAAATGTCATTGTTTTCTATTCTTCTTCATTTTCATTCGCTTTTTCCTTTCAAACCAATCATTTACAGCCTTCTAAATTGAGCCTATTTATTTATTCTATGTCTTAATCCAGACCCTAGTTCGAATTGAGTAAATCATTGACGATGATTACATCATCCGAATTGAACGATTTGATTCTGTAGACAATTTCATACGGTTTTGTATCCGAAGTGGTTTGATACAATAAATTCACACTAAAATGTGCTCCACCGTATCTCTGCACAACGTCAGCCACAAAAGTTTCAACTTGGTTCCATTTGCCGCGATTAAAATTTCGACTTTGTGGAAAGATGTTTCTCAAATCAGTACCAGAGCCACCGAGACGTGCCGATAGAATATGACCAGGTTCATCGCTATAATTTCCCATTCTTTTGGCATAATTTCGTGCTCTTTGACTAGCAACAGTGCCTGTGTTAAGATGTTGTGCTCGAATTAGTGCTTCCATCACTTCTGTTCGTTCATACGGGCCGGTTTGGAAGAGTGTAACTGGATTCAGTAAATTGGATCGATCTTGCGATACCCATGATAAAATACCAACAGTCAATTCATTGCTAGCGGAAGCACAGTTATTTGTCGAATTTTGCGAACCACAATAATCGTCATCGTAGCATTTACCAAATGAACTGGTTTTGTCGTTGAAATTCAATTGTAATAAATCGTTGTGCCGTAAACTTCCGGGATATAATGCACGTGATTTGCCCGAACAATTGATATCATCGTAGAGTCGAACACAATTTCCAAGGGTGTTGACCGAATTCACCGCATTATTGTCATCCGAATCGACGTTTATGCACTGTTTTCCATGCATGGAATACGATTTGCAACCACCAAGGTAGTGTCTATCTTTGCACAGTATTACACCATCACGGCCGGAAATCGCTGGACAACAGTATTTACTCTCCAAAGGACACGCACCGTCACGTATTAAGTAATCCTCTCCGCATGTCGAAGAATGCAGAAAAATTGGAACTCCAATCAAACCAATCGGTGTGCCACAAAACTCATTGTAACATTCACGACCATTGTCACTACTTGCCAATGATACACAGAAAATTACGACGAGCACATTCAACTTTGGAAAAATCATTTTGAATGTTTGAACTAGCGACGAGTTTGATTTAAATGGAAATTATTCGACTTATTAAGTTTCTTTCAAATCACTGACCATTGTGGGACACACAATTTGTTTCATCGTTCACATTTATTTGCAGATTTACATTGAGTTTGCTGTCTGCGGTTATATACGAATGTTATGAAACTTCCGTATTTTATAGTTCGTAGATAAGAAACTTGCATCATCGGTTGTGTAATTCAATGTCAAAAGATTCACGCAGATTCACGATTCTGATAATTCGCAACTGTTACTGTGCATACAATCACTGGATTAAAATCGGAAAATATTCTTTCAATCGTTAAAAAATATTAAATTATAATTTATTTGATGATTATAAAATGAAAAAAGATTTTGTTTTTCCACTCAAGGTGAAAAAAAATGTTCGGTTCGATTCAAAACAGAACAATTCTACGGGTGAGATTGAAAAATGAGTATGTTTTCTTTCGATTTGAAAATTTCGAATCAAAATTTTGGGCTGTAAACAATCGGCGCGAAAATGAACAAACTCTTCTTGAAAGAAAGAAACTCTCTTCTTGAAAGAAAGTTAAACTACCTCTCCTGGGAGGAAAGAGCTTTATCAGAACAAACTCCGTGAAACATGCTCTGCTCTCATTCTCATTCGTATAATTGCATTTCAATGTGAACTCGTATGGTGATAACACAGAGAGTCTCTGTCAGAGACTGTTGATAATCAGTTTT